GCATGTGCAGTTGCAACGGAGTTCACAGGTTCGTCGCACGAGGAGTTGCAGCAGGTGTTCATAAGTTTATCGCAGGAGTTGCGGCAAATGCAGTTGCTACAGGAGGTGGTTCATGGACACAGCAAGCACGGTGACACTCGATTCCACTTTATTCGCGAGTGTGTCGAGAATTGACAAATCATCGTGAAGTTCGTAAGCACCGGAGAGAAGTGTACGGATATTCTCACCAAGGCTCTAACAAGAGTCAAATTCGCGAAAATGCGAGAGCTGCTTGGCGTAAACAATTTCGAACCAAATCAAGCTTATGGGGGCGATTGTGAGACTAATCTTGAATTGGTCAATTGAATTGATTACACCTAAATAAATATAGGTTTATAATAGGTGCAAATTGATGGCACTTAATTCCTGCGATTATTGTGTACATTTTTCCTTTTATTACGTTATGCATTGGTTAGTATAAATTGGTTATTATGCTAATGTAAGCCTCTCTTAAGACATGTATTATTCCTTCTTCAAATAATAGAAAGAAATTTTTCGAAAGTCTATTCTCATTGTTTCTTTTCAATTTGTCATTCAGTGATCCATTAACATGGAACTAACAGTGCGAAGGGGGAAAGAATAGCGGAGGAGAGCACATGCCCTAGCCTACCAACGAAGAAGAGAGGAAGAAGCATCGCAGAGGAGGAAGGGTTGAGTTTGTGCGTTCGTGTGGGAGAGAAAGTCGAAGTAGGCTTTCGATCTGGAACTCTCGCGAGCAAAAAAAAGCTCCCTCATGCACAATGGGCGAAGTTGAGGTTTCTCATGCATGGAGTAGGGTAGGCTGGTTTTACAAAGGTAAGTTTAATTATTTAAGTTAGTTAATATATATATATATATATAACTAGAAAAAAATATACAGATACAATGTGTTGGAGGGCCCAAACATGACACCCTACCCACACCGAAATCGTAAGATGTTCCAAAACTAGGAAATACAAAGAAGTATATTAGAGACATAAAGAAAAAGCCTAAAAATGTTGAAATACATAGTATCAGGTGGCTAGAGAACAGCCCAATTTGGTTTTGCCTCTGCCTCTGGTTCTAGGGATGGAGCAAGCTAATAGATTGGTAAGATGATTGTCATTACCAGTAGTAACCAATGTATCATCCAATATGTTCCCGAGCTGGAGTCGACCTCCATTCTTCTTCTTCCTCCTGGAATAGACCTATCATTCCTCTTCCGAAGATTGGCTCACCTGATCTTGGTCTAAAGTGTACTGGAGATGTGCAGGTTGTTGAACATTAAAAACAACTACATGTTGTACCGGTTGATCTGTTATTAGATCAAAGGAGCACTCTCGTGTGTCTTCGCCTGTAAGTGAGCCTTCTTCAATAACAGTGGGTGGTATAAGCACAACTAGATCTGTAGTTGTAGTATGTTGTTCTTCTTCAAGAGCTGCAGTGTTGGGAAGAGAATTGGGTTGCATCTTCTCAATAGGGATAATAGTAGGGATAATAGGTGGTTGGATAATAGGTGGTTGTTCTTTGGCGATATTCGGCCTTAGATGAGGATGTAAACGATAGCAAATAGTAAAGCTATGGCCAAACATACTACAATGAGAGCAATAAAGAGGGTGTGATTCGATTTCAATCTTTTGTCAATACCCGTTGTGAGTGGTTATCTCTTGCAACTAACACACAAGCCACAAAGGGGCTGGTGACAACAAACGTTAGGACTATTAACCCTGAGAGACTTACCGTAAGCAGTTGCTAATGAGTAGAGAATTTCCAAGTTGACCATATGTAATTTTAACCCCAGAAATTTTATACAAACTGGTATTAACCCCGAAAATTTTATCCAAACTGAAATAATAGGGGACTTCGCTTTTGGGTCGAAACGAATAGTCTATTTCAGAATTTTCATATAACGGTTGTCGATCTTGATAACTTTCCGAGTTGTCGATCTTGATAACTTTTCGAGTTGTCGATCTTGATAACTTTCCGAGAAAAGATGCGGGTGTAATCGACATCAAGAGACAATGAGACAACTGAATCAGTATGTGTCGACCATCAAGTAAACCAATATTTCAACAGTCCAATAGCTTCATAGCCTCAAACTCTTTCAGAATGATCTTCAATTTTGGGTGACCATAAAGAAATTTCCCCACTAAAGAAAAACGCCAAGAGGACCTGACAGTACTGGTTTCGACCTCTATGAGAATAAGAGCAGGCTTCCCATTTTTTTCCCCAATTTTTTTATGAAGGTGTGATCGCCACCACCTTCCAGAGAGCGTCATGAAAAGATTGTGAAACATTGCAGGACTTGCCAATATGAAAACCAGACTCTGAGCCAGAAAGAGAAGCACGAGTAGATAAAAGAATGTCGTCGGCAAGTGTAGTGGCATAGGAACGGATCGTGGATGCCATCTCCAAAGCTGGAAATAGGCGAACAAACTTCGGAAGTAGTAGAGCTGCAAGCCCTCGAATGCGGGTGAGAGACATGAGCCAAGTAGAAAATGTCTGTCGGGCAGAGCAATAGAGAAAGAGAGAGATGTGAGTCGTCCACAGCGAGTGAACGGGAGCCGTCGACTAGAGAGCGAGAACGCGAGCATCCTAGAATACAAGAGCGCACGTCGTGGACTCATAGACTAGATGACGTCTGCGAGAGCGTGAAAATAAATATGAAAAAATATGTAATTCTCACCGTCCGACCGTTTGTTCCCGCTTTAATTAATTTCAAGTCCCAGGCATGAATGACCATAGTTTCATAGATAGCTAATATTGACTTTGCTTGAGACCTATTTATAAATTTTGAGGACCAAATTTTCATAAGTGAAGAAGATTGTAATGGTTTTGTTACATGAGGGGAGGGAAAACGAAGAACCAAGAAAAAGGAAGGGAGTGGTTGGGTAAATGAACAGAAGGGAGAGACAGAGCGAGAAAGTCAAGAGGTTGAAGAGAGGAAGAGTAAACGAAGAGTTGAATAGGGAGGAAGATGAGGCAAGTTGGGGAAACAAAAGGTTGCTTTTGCCCAATAAAAGGGCGTGCTTAAGGGAGGCAACAGTGAAAAAGACTTACTAAGGAGTCGAACAATGCGGGGGATCCTAATCGGCGACGAAAAGGCTTGAGGAAGTATCAGCATCGAATTTCAATAGGTTCGGTGCAAAGGAGGAAGGAACGACAGAGGAGAGCACGTGCGCTATCCTACCAACAAAGAAGAAGAAGAGAGGACAAAGCATCGTAGAGAAGGAAGGGTTGAGTTCGTGTATTCGTGTAGGAGAGAAAGCCGAAGTCAGGCTTTGGATCCAAGACTTTCACGAGCAGGGAGAAACTCCCTCATGCACAAAGGGCAAAGTCGCATTTTCTCGTGCACAGAGTAGGAGGACCGACTAATTTTATAAAAGTAAGTTTATTTATTTAAGTTATTTAATAAATATTATAATATAAGTTTATTATTTAAAGGTTAAATTAAACTGACTTTCATTCAGGTAAGGATTTTAATTTTAAATTTATAAATATATATATATATATATATTATAAGTGCATCATTTAAACATTAAACTTAAGTTAATTTCATTCAGGTATTAAATAAAGACTAGAGTTTTAATTCTAAAAGCATTTAGTAATAATTTTGATTACAAAAACTAAATTTTAAAGTTTAAATTGTTGAAATTCTAATTAAAATAGTGTCATACAACAATAATTTATGTGATAATTGTATATTCTATATTTTAAAGGTGAGAAATCAATAGAAGGTAAGATTAATCAAATCATCTATCATTAAGGTGAGTACTCGTACTTTTAATCTATAGTAATAATTTGTTTCTTCTCGACTATTTTGCAGTTAATCACACTGGCATAAGCTTTATTCTGATTGAAGTATATTTTCTTTTACGTTATCGATCACATTGTTATAAATGTTGTAGTTATTTACTCTCATATATTTGATGTATGTTTTATGTAATATGTTGAATTGAATGTGATGAACATAAGCACGATATGTTTATATTGACTGTTTGTATGTACATGAATGACTATGACAGAGTAATCTATTGATGATATTAATGGGGGAATACTAAGGTACCGATGCACGTATATAGAAAAGGATAATGATATTGATGTGTCTAATTGACGCAATTTTTAGACGGTATTGTTGTAACGGTTGTATAGATATAAAATGATATTGATATACTATTTATATAGTGAGATTCATTGAATTGCATATTAAATGTTTAGATTGATTTATTAAGAAGCTTAACTGGAAATGTATATTTTTTTTTCTTTTCCTTTGTATTACTGTAGTTTAGATAAATGAGTATTCATTGACTCGCTGTTTTTTTAAGCTAACTTTTCAAGTATAATTAATTAATAAAAAGAAAAGAAATATAAGAGATAATGTTTATAGAAGACACAGACAAACAGTAACGAGATAATTTTAAATATATTATTTTAATTTAATTTGATTAGTGGTTCTTTCATTTATTAAATTGCAGATTAATATATAAAATTTAGTTCTCACTATCCAATTGTTTGTCCCCATCTTGGTTAATGCCAAGCCCCGGGCCGGGTCGTGTCATTAATAAATAATAGAGGATGAAAGCAGGTAGTTTTGTTGTGCTCTTCAAGCTTTGGGCATACTATTTCAGAAACACTTTCGTTTAATTGTTGAAACTTTAAAATATGCAAAACATTGATATCACAGATAGAAATTACCCATAAAATGAATTACTGAAGATAATAATTGACTAGAACCGCCAAGCTCATTCTTAAAAGAATAGGTAACTTGCCCTCTCAAAGAAGGAAATAGATTCATATCACTAGCACAACAACTTAGATAGTAAACCTGGAAATTTCTATTGAATTTCCAAGTAAGCCTTGATAAAGAAAAAAGGTTTTAGCTTTTTCTCACTAAACAATTGTGGACGATTAGGCAGTAATGCATGCACATTGGATAATACATGATCATACCAAATATAGAATATTCGAAAGGGAGAAAAAAAAAAGGGAAAAAAATAGCATACCATGGCTTATAATACTTTGCTGGCATCCAAAACAAGTCTGTGGCAACTTCTGCTGCAATCTAATAGGAAGGGTATGTGACACTTCATTAAATGGCGTCACTGGAAATAGGTGATGATAAGATCTTGCTAAATGTGGAGAAGAAACAAGCGTCAGCCCACATATCCGACATTCCAATGGGAGTTCACAAACTCGTGCTTTACATCTTGGACAGGTATAGCCACCACCTACTTTTGCTTCCTTGTGACAGGAACATATAGAAATAGCCCCCTCGGCTCCTCTTTGCGGAAAACCCATTTTAATCAGGTTGGCAATAGCATACTCTGCTATAGCTGGAGGTGGCGGCGCATACTCCAGTAACAACTCCTTTAAGTGTGACTGCCATAAGAAAAAAAGGTAGCCGCTTAATTGGCATTCATAGTAAACTTTTCCAAGGCAATGCAATAGAGAAATAAAGATAGATTAAATCTCAAAATAACTTTTCCAAGGCAATGCAATAGAGAAATAAAGATAGATTAAATCTCAAAATAGTCCCCGGCTATTCTTGTATGGCCAATTTAGACTAAGTATATCACATCTCACATATTTAGTCTCTCAAATTTACGAAATTGATAAAAAAAATAGATTCTCGTATAGAAACTGTGTACAAAATTGATCCAATTTTAGTTGCTTAACTTTTGATTCCAATTTAATCTCCGAGGGACCATTTTAGATCAATTTTCTTTAGTTTAGAGACTAAATTAAAAAAATGTAGTACTTCAGAATTAAATTCAGCACATAGGGAGAGTTGGGGAAAAATTTTGGAGTTTGATAGGAGGAATGAGATATACCTCATCAAGGGCAACAGTATACAAACCCCCTGTCTCCTCAGACAGATGCTTGCATATGTAAATCTCAGCTGAAAGTCCTACAACAGAGCACCTTATTTTAGCTTTCTTACATTGTTTAATTGTTTCCATTATATCACCCGGATCACAGGTGTTGAGGGAAGAATAGAGAATCAAAACTTCTCGGTGGCCATATGAAGGAACTTGTGAAAGATATCCATGGACAAGATCAAGAGCATTCTGTAAGGAAGCATCTCCTGAGCATTCAAGCTTTCCCATAAGAGCCTTGATCTGTGAATCTGGACTGCCTCCAAGCTCTGTTAAACACTGGGAAACACCATCTTTTATGGTTACAAGCCCAATATGACTTAGTGGATTTTGATCGAAGAACTCCCTAATGAATGTCCCAGCACATTTTGCAACCACAGCCATCCGGCTTGGGCGATAATCTGTTTCCGAAGCTGCCTGTGTCAGTCAAAGAGGACCCATGCATCATTACATAAATAATCAAGAATGATGAATGCTTGGCATAAAAAGATATGCTTTCTTAGTAAACATGTTCTAGTGAATTATTGATTCCCAATCTTAAGTTAAGGAAGAATTAATAGAAAGGTATGCTTATAAAGACAACTGAAGTACATTTTATGGATCAGCAGATTGTTCTTTCAAGAGAAAATTCAGGGAAAAAATGCTATCTACCATACCTTGCAGGTAGAAACGAAAAACCATACAAAAATCAGTAAAGTGGCTCTCTGCAGAACAGAACGCCATAATTCCCCATAAGAAAAGGAGGGAAATACAAGAGCTTATTGAGCTCCTTCAGTCAGCAAGCTTTTAGAAAATCAAAGAATCGTTTATTAAAATTAGAAAAAAGTAGGTAATGTGTATTCATTTTTAATCTACCAGAAGAAGGATTTAGAAGGTGCAGAAATATAAAGCTTTGTTTTGAGCCATCAAGTTAAAGGACAAAGGAACAATGCTTCTATCGCTAGAAAGGCCTTGATACTTATGAGAACCAAAGTATATGGAACAGCGTTAAGAAAGTTGCGCTTCATATGAGGTACGATACTTTCCAAAATCATCCACTCTAGGAAAAAGAGTCGTTTAACATCATTCACAAACATATCCAATGAATTCACATCACAAGGAGAGAATCCATTGTTTATTATTAATGTACAAATTCATTTATTAAAAATTCCATGCCTTCTCCAACAGTGAAACAAATTCAAATCCAAATAATATGGCTTATATAAATTATTCAGAAAGTCTAGCAAAGCTGTTCAAGTACTAGAAGAGTTAATTTTTTGAAATTATTAGAAAGAAAAAAAAAATTCAAAGAAATAAAGATAAGTATGATAGAGCAATACTAAAATCAGAAGTCTTTGTGAAGTTATCAAGTAAATTTTAATCATAATAATATTTAGTGATGGATCAAAATGATGCTTTATGATGACATCTGTACTGGTTGTAGATATTAATATAAAAGATACTAGATGAGAGATTTTTTAAGTGTATTATATTTGTAGATAGATTAGTTTTCATAATTGAAGTGAAAAGTTGGAGTGATGGAAGAAAATTTTGGAAGATAAGAGGCTAAGGTGTCCTTATGGAAAAAAATAACAAGAATAAATTCTAAAATATGTAAATTTAGAGATGAAAAGTGATAAATATTAACAATATTGTTAAAAGATCAAGTGATATTTAAATATGAAAAGTATAAGTACTTAATATTAATTATAAGAAATATGAACCTATATAGCACCGACTCTTCTAAAAATGTGTCATACACGTGTCGAACACGTATTGAAGACCAATACTTGTCTGACATGTCCAGACATTTGTCCGACACTACAAAATATGTCGAAATTTTTTTTGTGCCGGAACACGTCCTAAACATGTCTCAACACGGCGTTGGGCATGGGCTCGATATAATTTAAGAAAAAAGGGACATAAGAAGTAAAAAAATATAAAAATATATGTATAATCCTAATTATAACTCATAGTAGAAATTGTCTCATCTCTTGTCATGTTAAAGCCCCTTTTAACATTCATCAAAATCAAACATAGAAGGCACATCCAATATTCTTTGTAGCTAAGCATCAGTAGTTACCTCTTCGTTTGTCGAAGCCGGCCATTAAAAGTCCATTCATCATTCGTCGAAGCAATGCATTGTAGCTCTCTTCTGTTCATAGAAGCCAAATCTACACCCGCTAAAGCAGAAGTCGAAAACTTCTTTGTTGCAGCTTGAGCAAAAATCAAACATTTTCGTTGAGGCCAATCCAAATACATTGCAAACTTTGCAACACTTGCACTAAAGCTTCTTTTCGTCGAAACTAAGTTGAGTCAAGTCCGTCCTAGTTATATAAGTGATAATTAATAATTATTTTTTTACTCTTTAACGAATTAATAGTTATAAATCTATACTTATTCTAATTCTAAAAGTTAAATTTTAACTTAATTAATTAAACAATGTGAAGTCGGAGAATATTTTAATTTTTAGTAGATAAGTTGGAGAAATTCTTTTGAAACATATTATATATCTAATTTAAAAATCAATTTTTATAAGCATGATGTTTATTAATAGAAGTTAAATTTATAAAATTAAATTTTATTCTTGCACACTTTATTTTCTGATGCATTTAATAAAAAATAAAGAAAAAATTTATATTTCATATTAATAATTAATTAAATATTAAAACGTGTCCATGACGTGTCGTGAACTTTTTTTTTTCAATTATGGCATATCTCTATATCATGTTGTGTCATATGCATGTCCTTGTGTTTGTGTCCATGCTTCAAAGATATGAGTACAATTGAAGACAATGACCTCTCTATTAGAGAATAAAATTAAGACATATACATCCATCTTGTAAATATAAAAATGTTCCTACCATTATATATAACTTAATTGTTGGGAAAGAAAATTTCAGTGACAGATAAAGCCAAAAATGACAATTAAGAACTAAGAGGGTAAAAGTAGAAATGATAGTGAGAAATAATAATATGAATAGATGATATGAGTAATATATGTTTATATAAGGCGAAGCATAAAGAATAAGATGCACCTTCAAACCATCTCATTTAGAAAAATAGCAAAACTCAAACCAACTCATCCATTCACAACAATTGTGAATATTATTGATGTAGATAATAGGCTTTAAGTAGTTTGCTAAAAATTTATGGGGACTTGTTGGGATGTGCAAAGGTTAAGGGAGTGTGGAGTAGAGCTAGAGAATTGTTGTGGTGGTGATAGGTTGCACAACTATGTAGCATTGGAAATCTCAAAACCATAGCATAGCTAGTTCTAATTTTGGACTTTTTGATAGGAAAAATAAGGATAGAAAAAAAGTTGGAAATAACTGAATGATATAACCGAGCTGGAGTTGGAGTTGAGATGAGATGGTGAGGTCTCTCGAGTCATATGGAGATGGTTCCTTCAAAACTAGGTAAATGAAAACCAATTAAGCCCAATTATCTTTCTTTAATCTCAAAAGCTTTAAGTGAAGGTTGGAGGTTTGGAGAGGATATTGAAGGACGAGAAGGAGATGGGAGAATGTTAAGATAATAACAATAAGGATGATGGAAGCAATCTTATATAATAGGATAAAAGAGTGAAGAAAGAATACTTAATAATTGTGCAAAATAATTAATAACATTACAAGACAAATTATTAAAGGGGGCCAACCATCAGCCTAAATCATTTGAAACACACTTGATTTTTTTAAGTAAATCAAAACTTTTTTTCATTTCAAAAAGAGGGTCTTCTATTGTCTATTATAATCATCCCCACTTGAGAAAATCAAAATATGTAAATGGAGGAGAAAACGTGATGGCTATGCTAAATGGAGGTATTAAATAGGCACACCATCAAATGCATTGTCAGTGTTCCCCAAGCACAATAGGATAAGTGGTATTATAACTAATCACACTACAAGACAAAACTATTAAAGGGGGTCAGCCATCAACCTAAATCATCTGAAAAACTATTAATTTTCTCAAGTAAATCAAAACTCTTTTTCATTTCAATAAGAGGGCCTTCTATAGTCTATTATAATCATCTCCACTTGTGAAAGGCAAAATATGTAAATGGAGGGGAAAATGTGATGGCTATGTTAAATAGAGGTGTTATATAGGCTCACCATCCCATGCATTGTCAATGTTCCCCAAGCATAATATGATAAGTGGTATTAAATCTTACCAAGCAAAACATTAATATAAGAATTTAAAACTAAAAGTTTTAAAACCTGCAGTTCTTTTTTGAAAAAAAAAAATTACATGATGTAAAATCATAATATGGGCTTTTGTTGAGTAGGCTTTTTTTTACTTATTTCTTTTAAATTGACTTGAAAATTGACTTGAGTTGTCTTAGATGGTTTGGTCACATTAAACATCCACCATCTGATGACCCGGTTAAGAGAGTAAACGTTTCAGATTTGACTTATGTTAAGAATGGTAGAGGTAGACCTAAAAAGACATGCATATTGTATACAAAATGATCTTAATTTATTAGAATTAAATGAAAATATAGCACTCAATGGGACAAAATGGAGATGAACGATTCATGAAGCCGACCACACTTAGTGGAATAAAGGTTTGTTGTTGTTATCGTCGTCGTCGTCTTCTTGAAGTAAGACTTGAGAATTGATGAATGGTTTGCTCCCTTTGTTATTCAACATCATCCTCTCTTGTAATAGTCCCTTTCTAGCTTGATTAAGTTGATATACTACAATAAAAGTTTTGGGCTCAATTGAAGTCAACTCCATAAAACTAAAATTCAACTAGTCTTCCCCAATTTTTGGAGCAAGCTTCCTTGATTCTTTTTCTTTCAATCAAGCAGCATTGGCTAGCATATTTCCGTTTTATTAGATATCTGCCCACTGCACTTTAGTTTGTAGGTGCTTCCTCCATGATGACGAAGTCCACCAAAATTTAATTTCTTATACTTTATCGATCAATATTTCTCAAATCTAATGTGGATCAATACATACTCACCCTCTTTATACTCTTTGGTAGAACAACTATGGTTTATCTTATAAACAAAGTTGCATTAGATTTTATTATCTGATCCCACTACTTCAATATAAAGGCTTTGAAAGTCCTTCACAAATAAAAATGCGGCATCAAAAATACATGAGATGAAATACTAGTCACATCAAGAGGCATCTTAAGATTTGACCATATATTATCTCATAGCTTGTGGTAATTGAGAGTTGAGATAACAAATTCTATGCAAATTCAGAGGTGGGTAGTCAAATCTCAGTAGCTTAAATTTTTCATACCAAGTATCCAAAAAGGTGCTCCAAATTATTGTTAAATACCTCAATCTGCCCACCCATCGATCTGAGAGTGAAAGACAAAAGAAAGCTTTAACTTGGTTCTCAAAAAACATTTAAAATGTATTCCATAAAACACAAACCTAACATTTGTATCTAATAATAAGGTGGAAGGAAGGCCATATAATCTAT